TGGAGGGATGAGATCCGTAGCGATTTCTACCCCTTACATGATATTTATATGCTTAGGATATAATTTACCATGGATGTGTTGAAAATTATTCATATGTCATTCATAGCATATTGAACATTATGTTGTTGTGCAATGATGCATCACATTACATATGCACGAAAACATGACATCACATTCATGGGCATGAGTTATGAGTGTGGGTGTGTGTATGCATGGTTAATCAAACACCATTCTTAGTGATTGATGGGTGGACTCGAAAAATTTAGGTTGAAAATCCGAATGAGTCACATAATTGCATGAAAGAAAAACGTGTGTCGGGTATAGCAAGAAGGGGTAGATTCCCCCCTCGAGTGCAAGACCCGGCGACTTGATTATACACTCCCCTGTGGTGAAATTTCGAAAAAGTATAGTATGGTGTATGGAACTGGCGATATAAAATTCAAAATCCGTTGCCCAACAAGACACAAGATTTTGATTTATAAAGTACTCATACAATGAGTAGCACCCATCAATGATTTGGTTTTATAATAAAACAACTTTTATTTCAAACGATCATTTGGTGGATTTTTTCGTCAATTGATGGATTCAGTATACCTTGGCATTGCATTGTGTCATAGGAGTCGGTGATGACTTGAGTTTAAGTGCATGAGTGAGTATCATCTCATTTCATGACATGACATGATTACATTCCACATTTAATGCATATTCTTATATGGAATGATTGTTAAATATTGTTTGTTGCTTATACATACCACATATGCATCTAAGGTGGAGAGTAGCCTCTGTAGGGATTATTCTATTGAACGTTGGCTCACCCTATACGGAAAAATATTTCAGGTGGGAGAGATACACCGGTGGATGGCTCCAGTTTGGACCCTCATGTTTGAAGAAAGCCGAATGTGACTTTATTTTGTGTTATTGTAAAACATTTGTGAAAATAATGTTTTGGGCATGTAATCTTTTGCAAATAATTGTAATAGAACTTATATAGACTATTATTAAACTAACCTTGCATGTGTTGATATAAATATGGATAATTAGACCTGGTGTAGCCAATGTTTACTTATAATTGGGCCCGGTGTGGTCTTTGTTAAATATTAGACCTCAGATGGGTCTTATTATTATATGATTACACAAATTGAGTTTTAGGTAGAGTTTCCCATACAAAGGAGACTCTGCCTGAATTTCCTCAAAATTATGGTTCCCGGTAAATGGAGCATAATGGCGTGATATCGAATTACTCGATATCCATTGGTATTCCGCGGGTTAATGGGTAATCAACAGACCCCCGAATTTTGGGGTGTCACACAAAACACTTGGGGCGCCACCCAAGGCTTCCCCCTGGTCCTCCTACATCTTCTTCACTCCAATGCAAGTCCAGTCTACTCTAGCTCAACGTCCATACTCAGGATCAAGCCTAATCCAACTCAGGGTCTTCTTCCAATTGAATAGGAGCATGAGAGAGAGAATGTTGGGATGAAGATCTAAACCATGATTGATCACTTACCAAAATGGTGGAAAGACCTCTCATTCACATTACTGCATTACCCTAACTATATAATGTACGCTCATTCAACACTGAGGGCACACTTCTACACCTCTCTATACACCTTGCTCCCCTCTCCCAAAGCATTGTAACTCCATCGGAGAACACTCTCCTGACAACTTTGGTTCATCAATAAAATACCTCCGACCACTGCAGTCGTTCCTAAAAGTGGAGTAGGTCACCTGGACCGATCCACTATAAATCTCTGTGTTAGCTCTTTATGTACTGCTTTACTATTAATTGTCCGTGTATTGTTCATTGATTGTCTCTGTTCATATTCTTGACTGTTGATCTTGCACAACACCGATTTGTGCATCATCAATAGTTGTCCATATTTTGTCATAATTTTTTTTTTTTTTGTAACATGTCTATTCTGGCAGTCTTTTTTTTTTAAAAATAAAACACACTTGTCATGTAAAGGATGTCTAGCCCCTTCATATGACACTTATTCCTCTCCCCCCCCCCCATTTTATAATATCTCCATCTAAATCTAATATTATTTGTATATTACTCGTTTAATATATCATTTAGACAATATGACATTTTTATTTTAATATGAAATGTAACCTATATTATAATCATTTGTTTTGTTCACATAAAGAATTCATAATTGAAATCCATTTTTTTAAAATTACCCTTAATTATATAGAATCATAATTGACGACCTAAATTATTATGTTGGTGATTATTTTTTGTACGGGTCGTTGACTCGTCACAATTTACTCCTCTAAAGAAAAATTTCGTTCCTAAAATTTGATATTAATCTCAAAAGTAAAATAAGTATTACACAAATACTCGCTGCGCATTCTGATACCTTTTTCACCTGTTTACTATATAACCCAAGATTTTGATATGAATTTCAACTTATACATCTGTCTAATATAAATTGGTTAACTTACTTCGCATATTTTAAACTCTTATACCTATAGCGAAAAATTGATAGTCTCACTTCCCACAAGACCCATATAAGTTTTCACTTGATAAGTCTGATAAACATGATAACAAATAATTCAATATTAAAAGATATTTAGTTGAATAAATTTAAAAAGGAAGATCTATTCACATCAATAAATTTTAAAGTATTTTTGTAAATTCAAATGAGTTTTTTAAATTAAAACATATGATATAATGTGATTGAAGATATGATATAATGATTTTTTTTAAATTCAAATGAGATTAATGCATTGATATTTTTGAAAGACATATGATACAATGTGATTGAAGATCTATTCACATCAATAAATTTTAAATTGAAATGAGTTTTTAAAATTTTTGAAAATTTTAAGATAGACTAGATTTTTGTGAAAATATCAAATCATACAAAAGAAATTGAAGAATGTTTCAATTATTTTACAATTTGAGAGAATCCTAACCTCTTTTTAATATAGTTTTACTCAAATTTTGATTTTAATTTGAGTAGAAGTATTTTTTTTTATTACAAGGTGTTTAGGTTTACGCTGACTATTCTCTCGAACTCAGATATCACCGTAGCCTGAGCGGGTTTAGAACATGTCCCCACATAAACAATGATGGCTGAATCTTAAGGAGAAGAGGGTTACCTGAGACCAGTTTCAACCACTTTTTTTTTTAAATAAGTAGTGGTTTGTATTATCAGAAGATTGGATTGGACTGTTCAATTGGATTAATCGGACCTTGAACTGGGCTCTAAACTAGTCCGATTTGCTAATCAAACCCGTTTGTGCATTTAAACCATCAACAACCGATAGAATCAACCGATTTTCAGTGAACCAAACGGTTTGAATGGTCTGGGGCGGTTTGAATAATACCTCAGATATTTAAAAAAAAAAAAACTTAGGCCTTGTTTGGGAAGAGTGTTAGAAAATTATTTTTGGTATTTTTTGTATCGCAGAATTTATTTGGTTATTTAATTCTAAATATAGTTTTACATAATTAAAAATAATAAAACTCATTTAGATAATAATCTAAAAAATAATAAAAATAAAAATATGATAATAGTGGACATGTGGTGATAGTGATAATGGTGATGGTGATGAAAGTATAATAGAAGGATGGTGATAGATGCGGTGGTCGCGGTTGTATAGTGGTGATGTTTTTTAAATTTTAGAATTTTTTTTTTTAAAAACTCATAAAATAATTTTAACTTATTCTCTAATTCAACTCAATTTTTATTCTCAATTTTAAAAAATAAAAAATAAAAAAATAATTGGTGAAACAAATTTTTTCCTCGAAATTATTTTCCAAAGCAAAAAGACGATTTCTGACATGCAAAACGTTATTTTGGGGGCAAATTTAGCCCTAAATCAACGAAAACCACAGGGTCGGTCTTCTCTTCTTCTCCAGTTCAGACGACGCACAGGCACAACCAGCAACTCCTCAACTTAGCTCTCGAGGTCTCCAGTCCAGACGCACAAGCATTTGATTTCGGTCTGTAAGTCTTCTCTTCTCTCTCTCTCTCTCACACACACACACACACAGTGCCGGGATTCACGATTCACGAATCTCAGTCCCTTATTCTTCCGTCTTCTTCTCGAATCTCAGTCCATTCAATCTTTCTTCTTTCCTCTATTTCCCTATCTCTTACTCTCTCTCTCTGTTTCAATCCGACACACACACACATCACACACTCACTCAATTTGCAAGTTACACACTCACATCACACACTCCTAATTGACAAATATCAACATATGCAAACCTAATTGAATTAAATTTGTAATTTTAATTAGGAATTTAGGATACTACTTTTTCCAAATTATGCTTTGATCAATTGACTAGAAGATCTGCTTTGAACTAGTTAGGTTCGTTGGTTGCTTGTGTGAAAACGGTATCACTTATTTTTTTTATTGTTCATAAATTTTAACTGACTCGCGGTTATTGTGGTCTGAATCAACCAACGAAGATGTTTCAAAGTTATTAATTTCATGTTATTTTGATAAATTTAACTTCACTCGGTGCTTTGTCACTATAGTTGTTGTTGTTGATATACATAGTTAATGTATTTCAGATTCCATTAGGGTGTAGAAAGAAAAAATAAAAATTTGTCGGTTTTCAAATGAAATGCATGGATTGCTGGCATTTAAAGAAGGGATATCTTTAGGAAAGTATCCCCACCAGGTGGATGAGAAGTTGGCCAAGTGATGTATCAGATTGTATTAGTAGAAAGTCTAATATGTTGATTTACGTCCGAGTTTTGGCCTCTTGTAGAACACTCTCATAAGCAATTTTCTGGATTATGGGCTATGCAAAAAATGTGAGAAATTCTTTTGAAGTGGCTTTAGAAAACGATATAACAGAATTCACAATTCGCTCATGCAATTTGATTGGAGGGTATGCAGAAAAGATAAGAAGTCTTTTTCTTTTGGAGTCATATGAAGAACCACAGAATAAATGGGAAATTTTGCCGGAGCCTAGTTTTCCATAGGCATATGGGAGTATTGTTTGATCTGTGGCCTTTATATTTCCAAGAGTTCATCATCTTATGTTAGTGTTAAATTCTTCTTTGCACCAAGTAAAGTATTTTTTTAAATCCTAAATCTATGTTCTGCATCCTAAGTTCATAACAGGTTGTGGGTTTTGTAATGGTTTTAGGGAAGGCTGATATGATGATATTTGGGGGTGATGTGATAATTGTCACTCGCCATGCACATATTCCATGCTACACTCGTATTTTTATTGGGTTGCGTATGGGCATGTCTATACCACTTGTGCTTTTACTTTTCCATCTTTTGAAAATATTGACAAAGTGCAACAAATGGAAAAATGAGTACAGGAATTGTTTTTTGCCTTTAGTACAATGTGATTCAAATTTGTGGAAGCTATAGCTCTGGATTCTTGTCATTGGAACTTTTGTACAATTCAAATATATTCTGTTAGTTCTATGTAAAAATCATTAAAAGGTTCACATTTTTCTGTACTTCATTTTTGAGTAGTTAACCCAGTCATACAGACTTCTCAAGTGTCATTTTTTGGTCATTCTTCACTAGAATATAGTACTTCAGCGGTTCATAGCAATGTCGAGATCAATGGTAATGGCTAAGCTGGTTAGACAGATCAGTCAACTTGAAAGGGTTAAAGTGCAGCCCCTGACGTGTGGTTACTGCACAATGGTGCGAGCTCAAATCCTCAGTCAAAGCAATGCAAGTGAAATAACATCTTTTGGAGATCGAGTCAACAATCCAGCAGTGTCTCCTTATTCGGGTAAGGATAGTGAAGGTTTGCGCAAGCATCAAGTAGGTGAGAATGTGTCGAGAAAGGATAAAATCAGCTTTCTCACTAGCACGCTTCTTGAACTCAAGGATAGCAAAGAAGCTGTATATGGTGCGCTTGATGCCTGGGTTGCATGGGAGCGGAACTTTCCCATTGGGCCACTAAAGATCGTATTGAATAATCTTGAGAAAGAGCAACAATGGCATAGAGTTGTTCAGGTGATTAAATGGATGTTAAGCAAGGGCCAGGGCACCACAATGGGGACGTATGGGCAGTTAATTCGAGCATTAGATATGGACCACAGAGCACAAGAAGCACACGAGTTTTGGGTAAAGAAAATTGGCAGCGATTTACATTCAGTACCTTGGCAGTTATGTCATCTTATGATATCTGTGTACTATCGAAATAACATGCTGCAGAATCTTGTTCAGCTTTTCAAGGGACTGGAAGCTTTTGATCGGAAACCCCCAGAAAAGTTAATAGTGCAGAAAGTAGCTGATGCATATGATTTGTTAGGTTTACTTGAAGATAAGGAGCGGGTTTTGGAGAAGTACAAGGATCTTTTTAATCAGACATGGAAAGGAACCCCCAAGAAACGTGGTGGATCCCCCATGAAGAGAAAAGAAAAATCAAGGCAGACAAAGCGTGCACCCAATCCAGATGGTCTTCAAAATACGTTGGATTTGTCACAAACATGTGCACATGATCATAAGCCAATGTTGTTATCCATGTCTTAGTAGCCCTCCCGCTGAGATAATATAGCGTGTGCAACTCGCAATACTTAGTCCTCAGTTGATTGTATGCGTTCTCAATTTGAGGGATTTCTACCCATGATCCCAGGCAACCCTTGGAGACAATAACTGCAGCCTATTCCTTTATAGCTTACCTCTACCCTTTCTTCCAATTGTGATGATGGAGACAACCGTGCTTCTCCCCTTGCTGTTCTCCCAGCCCTTGACATGTATGCCCCGTCGGATGTCACTCATGTTCATTCATTGCTCTACTCACAACTGATGATTCTTGATTGGTAACTTTGTCCTAGTCATGTTAGGTAGATGCAGGTGTTTTACATGGCAACTCCCAAATTTTGTTGCTGTTATGATATCTGTGGTTGTGCCATTTTTCTGGGGCTTGGATGGATGGGTAATCCGAAAATGGAATTTAAGTTACTGTTGGATGCTGTTGTGTTCCTAACGAGGATCCAAATTTTGTTGTGAATTGAAGTGGTGTGCCATACATGATGAGTGTGATGACTTACTACAAAGTACTATTTGACTACCTCTATTGTTTTTTATTAGAGTACATCCAGTAAGTTCAATGATGGACATCTGTTTTGTTATGCCCATCAGACGTAAATAGATCAAAAACAAAGCACAATTTTCTAAAACAAGGATTTTATCTCTGAATAAATTTGGTATCATACCAAAAAGTGAGTAGGAGCCGTAAAATAAAAATTTGCATGTGTTGTGTTCTTATTGAATGAACAGAAAAAATATGGCCAGGGAAAAAACGAAAAATGTCATCTTTTTCACCTGGGTGCGTGGAGAGAGATACTGATTCCTTCTACTAATAACTTATCAAACTAACCACAAATAGAACTAGTTTCCGTACAAAGTCAAGCAGCCTTAATGCACAAGACTTTCGCCCTTTAGAGGGCGTGCCCATCATGTGGAAATACTAGTTCTATGACTTGAATTTGTGACGCCTAGTCTACAAAAGAACAACCTTACAACTGCTCTAAGATCCACAAAAAAAGGCTTGAAATCAAATTAAGGTTCGCTCAATCTCCAAGAATCTTCCGTTTTTTGGTTGTGTTCATGTATGGTCTAATGACCCACTCAACCTGGGCTTCACCTTGATCCATTGTTCCCAGCTTGATCTGCAATAGGTAAGAAGCAAGAACAAGATAGCCAAACAATTGGTAAGTTGAAGAAAGAAACCATAATGATGCACTGAATACTTGCTGAAAGAGCCAAAAAAAATGGAAGGGTTCCCATGAATCATACGAGACTGCATAAAATTTATATAAATATAAAAAAATTTAAAAAAATGACAAAGGCAGCGAGTCGATATAAGCAACAGCAACTAAAACTACCGTATGAATTTATTGGCAATATAACAAATGAATGAAAATAACAATTTTTTTCCAGAAAAATGAATGGAAAGACTGAGATACCACCCAAAAAACAGAAGGATTTTGCTAGTTATTGTGATTGGTTGGAGAGTTCAAGAGGCACAGTGAAAAGCCAAACATGTCACATCAGTTTAATAGCAGCTTAGATCTTGTTACCTGTAAATAAAAAAATTTAACTCGTACCACAAGGCCAAGTGTGATGATCCTCATGAAGATACCCAGGGAAGGGTGGGGCAACAATAGTATAGGGAGGGGTTAAAGATGCCTCTTAACCTAGGCTGCTGAAAGAACATTACCACAACCTTGAACAGGATGACCCATTTCTAATCCCATTTTCAAACTATGAAAGTAAAATTCCACGCAGAAATGCAATTTCATCAGAGTAAATCCATGAGGGTGCTGCCAAGCCCTTTACCAACTCATGCCGAGATAATAATGTTCTCCACCCTCCTGTCTTGGCAAAAATAATACTAGTTATTAGTTGTTTCCCGCTTATACCTGAGGAGCCTGTTTTAGATGCAATATCTTTCCAGATATCTTTCTGGAACTAAACTATATCATTACTGCAGCAGTGAAACAAATATTTTGAGAGCGGTCCAATTTTTCTCGGCTAAATTTTCAGCATAATCAATGTGAATTATATATATCAAAGAAATACAAAGAAACTAAGCACCACGACACTTACAATTCTGGTTTATAGTAACGTAAGGAAAAAAAAGAAGACAATGATATTAGGGTCTTTGTTCTTATTCAATTTTACATTGGGCACTGTGGGGCAACTAAAACAACACTAGCGGTCACTCTGGAGAACACGCCATGATTACTGTTGGGATTATTGAGAGTAGGTAAGCTATACAGATATCAGGTTTAAAAAAATATACTCCAGCAACAGCAATAACATGAATTTTCAATAAATAACAGCAATCAAAGTTATAGAAGGCAAGGGGTGGACATTTGGGGGAAGGGTTGCATAGTAACTTGAACTGTATGCTAATTACCTGATACAGCCGCAATTCAAACCGAGGACCAATCTCCTTCAGCTCAATTGACTTAGGACCTCCACGTTTCTCATAGATATGATGCCTGTGCATTTAAATGATGACTTAAGACAAATAATTCAAGACATGGGTAATTTTCTTCTAAAGCACTTAACAATTAAATGTTGTTGATAATATGGTAGAAACTCATTGCCACAAGTTAGAGCGAGTACTTAGATGGATACATTACATGGCTTGTAGAACTTTAAAATGAAATAGATCTAAGTTCTGAGAGTTTGTTTACTAATTTAATGTTATATCTGCTCTCAAATATCAATATGGGGACAACATACCACTAAAATACTGCAGATGGTGCATCAAGGGTGCAAAGCAAGACTTACAACTTTTCTTGCTCGACTAATAGAAGGTTACCATCGTGGTTCCTAGACCATAGTAACAATGTCCAAGTGTAGTATGATTAGGTCAAGGGATCCAATCAGGGTATCCCCACCATCTCTACGTCAACCAAAAAGGAAGATTTAACGTGGATGTCACCCAAGAAGTAGCAATCTTAAAGATTCACCAGGATTTTTTAACTTGAACGGATAGATCATATTTTCGGTTTTCTGTGAAGTCCCTTGGGAATTCTATTTTGCTCAGATGTCACAAACCTAACTTACAATGAACGTTTTCTCTTTCCATCCTACTCAAGCTCCAGTACATTGAAATGGCTAGACAAATACATTACCGATTTCTGGCTAGAGGTTGTCATCGCCTAGGTTGAGTGAAATGGCCCCAACTAAGGGCAGGCCGCGAAATCTCCAAAGTCGGGGGACAAATAAAACCGGTCACAGAATACACCATGCTCGAGACAAATAACACAAATGCCTTGCTATATTGATTAAATAACGCAGCATAAAAGCTATGTAATCTCATTTACAACCTTTCGCTTCAAATCACCTCTAGATAATTACTATAATGGTTTCCACAGAACATCAAGTAAGAGAAAGAAACAAACCTGAACGAAATATAGTCTGATTGATTAGCGAAAGTGATGATACGTTTTGCATCAAACTTGGGCACTGGAAATAGATGTTTTAAAATGTTAGCTGTCCTTTCACCAAGCTGTAAACAATAAACAGATCCACAAGTAGTCAGTAACTGATAAATGAATTCACAACATAATAAGAAACAGAATAAGCCATGAAAAGCATGTATATAGCAATCAAAAACAGACTGTAGATTAACTGGGAAGGGGGAAGGGGAAGACAGGAGACAAAATACAGATAGAAAACCTATCAACTTTTTGGAAAGTGCGTAAAAAGGATATATGAATCTTTTTCTTCGTTTCGAAGAAGTGCTACAATAGAAAAAAAAATATTTTCCCCAATACAATCATAAAACCAAGATTAAAGTGGTAATAGTGTCAGCCTAGTAACTGTGAGATTGAGGGTTAGACTATGAGGATAACCACTTTGTGCAAATAATGCTAACGGTTGAGCCTGCACCAATTCATACCGGGAAACTGATATCACATCAATATAACACCTCATCTACCATTCTGCTACACATCCCATAGCACAATAGCAGGAAGTCATGCCCAAGCTATCCATTAAAATCACAACAAAAATTGGACATTGTTGAACAGCAGCTGAGTGTAAATTATAAGCTTTCTTAATGGTGTAAAACACAACACTTCAAATATCTGTTAACGGCATAAAAAGTTCCAACTCAACCAAATGTGAACTCGTACATAGTTGTACCTTAGTTGAGAAGTTGTTAAGAATCAAATGTGGGTAAGCCTCGGGCATTGTTCCCATGGCTTTCTTGTCTTTGATGTCATGCCGTGTAACCTACAGATTGAGGAATGGATGAGAAAATTCAAGTGCAAATGTGCTAGGCCAAAGAATGATCCAAAGGATATTAGATAAAGTAAAACTACCTACCACATTGAGTAATCCAAAATAAGCAGTTGGACCAAAAGGTAGATGGCTTATAATTAGTCCATCCGGTACACCACGATGCTCATGTACTAACACGACATCTGTAAAATCATGAGCCCGGCAGGTTTCAATAATTTCAGATATAACCTGCAAAGTAAACAAAATAAAAAACATCATCACATAATCTTTATTAGGGGTCACTATCAGGTTTAATGCTTGAATTGTCAGGCTAATACTCTTATGTGAATAATGCCAATATTGTACGCATTCCGCCCATCCCAGCACACTCGATTAAGGAGGGCCAAACTGGGTAACAAGTCTAATGACCTGTTATTACATACTATTTAATCAACAACCCTTCAGCTTGCACTTTCAATTGATTCACTTACTCAACCCACACTAGGAAATTTCTATTAGTTTAATATGTCAACACTGCACATGTTACATTACGGTAAATCAATCATTCAAATTTCAAATTTGGTGAATTACTTTGAAAATTTAGCAAAGGAACTAAAGTATTAAAGTCACAACTACGAGATAGACTGCATATTTTGGAAAGTAAGTTACAGTTGTTTGCGAGCATCGCAGCATATTGGAAATGGGATCATGTGTTGTCCTCTTGAGCCAATTGATTTGAATGCACATTCATTCTACCTTTTCTCAATCTAGGAGTCACTAGATATAACAATGATGTTGGATTTACCTTCACTCTGACTTTGATATAGCTATATATATGCAATTTATATATATATATATATATATGCACAGTTACATATTATAAGCACAAATATAGACATCTTTATGAAAATGAAACTCTGGATAGATACCTAGGAGTCTAGGACCTAAGGCAAGTCAGTATCATGTGACTTTGCATGCACAAGCTACTCGGTTTTTCCTTAGTTCTCTTTTTGTCTGAGGTAATTAAATGTCAAACGGATACAGCCCATGAATACACACAAACTACCTGTTTGGTGTACTTTCTTTGACTTATAGAAAATAATGTCAAAGGGTGAACCATTGTGAGCAACAGCTCATAATCCAACTATAGCTTAATAGCTACCCATGTATAGATTCTTCCAAACAGTCTCCCTAACTGGTCCAATATTCTACAAGCAAGAATCCAATTTATGACAGATATTATTATTTGAATTCCTCCAAAACACTTGCGTGAATTAAGCTGACCTAACAACTATCTAAAACTAACTTTTTCCTGAATGCAACTATAGCTTTACAACTACCCAGTACCCATGTAATGATTCTTCGAACTTCCTTTCTCCCCTAATATTCTACCGTTTTATCTCTTCCATCCTCAAAAAACTTGGGCATATTAATCTGACCTAACTCCCCCATCTAAAACTAATTGTTTGGTTCATCTCCAAACAAACTTATTTAGAAACAACTGACTGGTGAAAAAATAGGCCAACTAGCCATGATATTGCCCCCCAATCTTACCACCATTTCATATGTGGTTATTAGTTGTAGCATGAATAAGCTCGATTAATTTACAGCTTCTTTTATATAAAATACGCTAGAACTATGAATACGAGAAATAGGTATAATATGTCATTGGCGTAAAGTGCCTAGAAATCCAAAACCTTCTACCAGAAATTTAAAATGATTCCAAATCTGTCGACCCGTACTCCACATATACTTATTTATACATCTATACAAATTTCCATATCCTGTTACGTTTAATTTTCTTCAAGAAGTGAAAAACTAACAAAAGGATATGGGAAATATAAAAGTCAAACAAATAATATCAACTATAAAATAAGACATGTTTTAAATTACTAATCACACAATAATTCCCACAATCCTTACAGCATACTTAGATGTAACAAAGTCTGAAGTAATTTTTACGTAAAACGGCCAATCTTTACACAACACAAAACACATAGAACAGATTCTTTTAGGCACCTGACTTTTCGAAGATCAATGTACAAAAACCTTTTGATCCTCATATCGATAATAGTTCCTCTCCATCAGAACTTCAAAGGTTCATTACGGCTAATTAAGCAAGAAACAAACTTCTAGAAGGCTGGATTGGTTATTTATAGTTCAAACAGCAACTGTACAATTCATTTCTGAATTGCATATTACCATGAATACATATTGCTGGAACCAAATAAAAGGGCAAATGAGGCCAGTATATCAACATGCAGAAAAAATATAATCTTTTATCAACTCACAATGCCCCACACTATAAGCACTAGGAAAAGTTACAAAACAATGTCAAAAATTCTGATAGGCAAATGCCCCCACATATTCACGCAACAATTAACCAACCTGACCACCACGGTTCATTCGTTGTGCATTAGGGAATACAATCTTCAGCTCCTGCATACAAAAAGGCTCCAATTGTAACACACTTGCTTAAAACAAAAGACCGCATGCATAAAGCCAAAACAAAAAAAAGTTGACAAAAGCCAGGTTAGAATGGACACAAGTAAAATTTTGGAATAAATAAGGACAAACTAACCTTTACAAACTGTGTAAGAGGAGCACTCGGGTTGCGGGATGTGGTTAGCAAAATTTTAGGGTCTCTTTCTGTTGCATTTGCATACTCATCATCGATTGTTGACCTTGGAACTACCATAAGCAGTGAAAATAAAACCAGATATCACTTATTATGACAAACACAACTTCCATTCATACCAAGGGAAAGAAACTATCCCAATAACAAAACAAATCACAGTTCACACAGAAAGAAAAGAAAACAAAGATAAAAATTAATTAAGTTACTACCAAATAAAATATGTAGATTAAATCAAACTGGGTTTGAGAAAGAAACAAACACTACATAGCAATGAAAACTATTATTTTCGCATGTAATTTTACAGTAAATGTAAACCCAGCAAATGGAGAGTGCATGCATCAGCATTTAGTTCACACCCAATCTCTCACCTGCGTACACTACTAAATACTAAGCAAGCAGAACCAAAACAATATGGTGAACATCAACAAGACAAACAAAATTTCTTAACATTTGAGCAGCTCCAATTGCAACCATGTTGGCTCTCCAATAATTCTCAATACTGGAACACTGGTGCAATTAAATCACACAGCATTAAATCCCAAATCACCTTCCCAGCTGCAACCCCTCGTTTCACTAACTATTCACAGTAACGAAACAAAACCTTTCAAACTAACAACCCAAAAGCAAATCACCCGAAATTCAGTTAATATTACACACACACACACAGAGTCAGAGTCATACTAGCAGTGTGTTCATCCTCAAGGTCGATTTCTTGGCGAAGGGCTGCTTCTTCGTTTCTGAGCTCGGTGGGGATTGGTTTCCCCTCTGTAACAAAAAAATAAAACCAAAATCTATTCTAGTAATCCAGAATGAATAACTGGAACAGAAAAAAAACAAAATTAAACAAGAAAATAAAAAAGATACCTTCTAAGGCTTCCTTGATTTTGCGCTTCTTCTCGTAAAGCAAACGCTCTTTGCCCTCCAAGCTCTTCCTGTATAGGTACTCTCTCCTCAATCTTATGTTCCTCCTCAACATTGCTCTGATTCAAACAACAAAACCCTATATGAGCTCCGCCGAAGAGAGAGAGAGTGTGTTACAGTATGAAAGGTGCTGGCAGAGTTACAGAAAGGGAGAGACACAGAGAGAAGGGAGCTGGGGTTTTAGGTTAAAAACGCGACGACGGCGTTTAGGACTCTTTCTCTGTGGGTTGGGCTTAATGGGCCAAGCGAATGGTTGATCGAATTAACCTGTGGGCTCCCCATTCAACCCGACTTGAAAGACGGATCAAAAAATCTGGCATGTGTGCGGGTTAACAGCCGAGTAAATACGTAAAGACAGTTGATCGGAGGGAATCCCGTTATGAGCATACCGCAAAATTCAACACAACACGATTAACTGACAAGAATCGACACGAATTAAGCGGATTTGGGTAATAAACGGATTGACACGCCAAACACGTTTAATAAACTGGTCGTATTCGTGTAAGACCTGTCAAACAGTTTATCACACGTTTATCCGTTTAAAGAAAATTAATATAATTATAAATTAATAATTATTTTAAAAAATTAACAAGAAAAAAAGAAGTAAAAAAATCAATAAAAAAAAAGTAAAGTAGTAGTAGTTCAAAAACAAAGGAGAGGAGATGAGGAGTATTTCAAAGACAAAAACAAATCAATGTCTTTTGTTTTTGTCTTACATTAGAAAATGAGGGGAGATGAGGAGGGTTGAGTTGCCTATAAAAAACAATGGTCTCTTGGTTTTTTTTTTAAACTTTCAAGTCTTATTTTTATGAGATTTGACTAAAAATTTCTCTTTTTTGAGGTAAGTGAAATTGACAGTAAAAAAAGGTGGAGTATTAAAATTTGTTGATATAAACTTTTTAAAATTAAACGGGTTAAACGAGTCGTGACGTGTTATCCGTTTATTAAATGAGTCGTATTCGTGTTAAAATTTTTTACTCGTTTATTAAATATGTCGTATATAAATTTATATATTTTTTCACTGCTATCCGTTTAACCGTTTAATCCGATACGATCGATCCCTCTATACACCGCCAACCTACCTTCACCTTCTGAGAAGGATTCGAGTATGAACTTGTCCATTGGAACCCAAAATAAAAATCTTGTGAGCATTGTTGAAAAAGACAAATTTTATACCCCACAAGTCATTGTCTCCAGGCGCATTAGTTGTAAAGGTTTAACCCCCACTGTGGTGGTCCAGTTAACTAACAACCGCTTATTTTTATGATGGTTTTACCCTTATTTGGAAAGTTTAGGTTTGACAGCTCAACTGCTGACGTTATCGATGGTTACCCCATCGTTTCAAAAGTCCAGGCAGCCCAAAACATTTTGGGGTTTAAAGTGAAAATAATAAATGAGATTTTTTTTTATTTTTCATATTAATAATAAATTTTTTGGTTTAAAAATTAAATTTTAGGGTATTTTTACTGCTGAATTAATAGTTCAAATTCATTTAAGTTGAAATCTTTTGTTTAAACATGAATTTAAATTTTTTATTTGAATTATTACTACACACTATAAAGTATGAGACATTTCGTGAAGTGAAGCCTTAAATTTTTATTTTTTTTAATTGGGCTTGTGTTTTTATAAGATTTTTTTGTAGAGTTTAAATTATTTATGAATTTAATTTTTTTTACATAAACTATTTATGATATGTAAAAATTTGATTCTTTTTTTTAAAATGGAACCTAAAGGTCAAACTTTTTCAACAAAACTGTTGACCTCCTGGATAACATTTGTTTCAAGATAATGGTTAGAGATTGTTACCAAAGTTTCTTTATTTGAACATTTTTCTAGGTTTTTTTTTTTTTGATAATTAAAGGAAGGGGGTGGAGATAAGGAAGAGCACTCAACGACTATCCCGTTAGACACTCACCGATGGGATCATAAGGCCTCAGACAGTGCTTGAAATACTTTTAGAACCAGATCTAACTAGACTAGCATAACGGCTAACCACCGAACCCTAATGAGAACTCCATAATTCAAACTTTCAACCTCTAAATAAAGAGTAAATCGTTACCACTATTAGACTACCTTACGCGGTGATAGTATTTTTCTAGGTTAAGTTAACTCAATATAGTTCGTGATCAGTTGTGACAACAAATTATAAGATTAATTCGTTCTCACAACAACCGACGAATGAGTAATTAACTAAGAAATAAGTAGAAAGTGAAAGCTCGCAGTTTTTCTCCACGTGGAGGAAATATAGACACTTTAAGGCAAAGATAAGCAAACGTTTGATCAATGTCCTACTCTTTTGAACCAATAAGGGATTTACGTGTAATTTATTAACGAACGAATATATTAATCTTGAGGAGTCTAAGTATAATGCGCGTATAAACTTGAGGGAATTTGTGTTTAATATTTTAAATATCAGGGATTTGAATAATTAAATGACAAATTTTGGGGGATCTAAGTATAATTTTTCCTAGATAAATCCCTCATTCCCATAAGCATTCGTCTGCCATTGATGGTCTGCAATAGAATCAGAAGCATTCTCCCTAGAACCATCCGTCTGCCATTGATGGTCTGCACCTCCCATATATATCCCACCACCACCATTAAACCCCACCACCACCGCCACTAGAACTCACCGCCCCATCTGTCCCACCACCACCACCTCCACTCCCATCTTTCTCCCCTGCAATAGAAACGTCACCACCACCACCACAATTCAATGCTTCCTTCAATTCTAGATCGTATATGGAATCCCAAACAAGGGTTTCGTTCAACTAAGAGTCCTACTCGAACATACCCAGATTTGAGCCTTGGACGAGCTCAGCCTCCAATGGAACGAGCTCAACTCCTTCACGCTCTTATTGACAGGAGAAGAGAGAGGGGAAGAGAGGAGGGGCAACTATGTCTTCCATGGGTTATCCTCTTGCTTGGGTTTGTAACCCATGGGAGGGGTGGGTTAAGTGTAGCCTAGGGGGGTTTACTGGTACTGTAGAAACCGAGTCGAGCCTTGACCCGGGATTTGTATCCAATCTCAAAAAAGGTTTTTCAAACAAAGGTTATCTGGCCCATGCCTATTTTATCCCATCCAACTAGTAGATAACCACCTTTAACCCACTATCTAAACATCACCGTAGTAGTTTGAATAAAGATGATTTGATGGTTATTGTAATAAATCTCAAGAAGACTTAAGGGGAGTGATAAGGGTTGTATTAAAACACAAGAAGACCAAAGAATACACTTTTGGTGGAATGCACGTGTTGAACAAAAAGTTACGTTCGTCCGAACACAAAACTTCCGTTTGGACGCACCCAAGAGAATTTTGTTATTTTTTGAATGAAATTACTTTCTCGATTAAAAAAAACTAATTTATAAAATCACTAATGGCACATAACTTAAATAAATTTCAACTTGTAGGCAAATCTCACCTTTGCTCCCATGGATTACTTGGTTAAAAAACACACACACACACATAATGTCATTTCCCTTGATAGGGACTTTAATCACAAAGTCCTCTTGGTATGAACATAGCCATACTGTTAGAATTCTTTCTCATTTATCACATATTTTATGAAATTTATTTGAATAGACCAACAACCGACAGGTATATATAGGAAATCTAACTACAAAAAGTTTTAGAGTTTCAGATTTGCTTTGTCACCTTTTGATTTCTTTATTATAGTCTTTATTCCTTTCATCTGGTAGAAGCTTCACAACCACCGACCAATCTCCAAAGTTGGAAGATTTCACTTTACTTTTATGACATGTTTATTATTTCAAGAACCTCCTTTTTCTTTCAATTTTTTTATCAGTTAAAGCATTTCATGATCCAATCCTTTATCTCTCACTGTTTGTCTTTTTTTAATTTAGAAAATAAAAGAAATAAAAAGCTAAAGATCTATCTTTTCTTTTTTCCCTTTGCTTTTATGGCCTAAACTTTAAAAAATGATAGAGTTTGATACGTAGTTTAAGGTCGCGTCGGCCATCGACTCAGAGGACTCTGAGACTACGGCGTCGCGGTACGGTATTAGATGATACGACCTGAAAGAAAATGTTGAACATGACAAAAAATTTAGGTCATATCGTAGTGTCACAGAACCATATCGACCGATTTGGTGACGATAACTCAAGGACTCGAGTTTGACTTGGATACAACTTAGACGTCTTAGTCAAGTCATGCGAGATTCAGAGTTTTTACATATTGTGTAGCGAAATTGTCTCGAAAGATGCTGAGATGGATAAGAGTCGGCCGACTTGTATTGGTATCGGCCAATACTTTGAACCATAGTTTCATATATAAGACCAAAGGGAGAGTAATTTTCTTATACTTATATTTGTAGGTCTCAGATAAAATTGCAATAAAGACAAATGAAAATAAAAAGAGTTAACTGTTTTGTCTTGTGAAAAAAAAAACACAACCACCAGGAAAGTCAAGATGAAACATTTCTATGCCAATAATTGAGCCCTCCAAATTTTGCAATGACTGAAGTCTCGTACACTGTATACGATCTTTATATTTGTAGGTCTCATATAAGAAAACCAAACAACATAATTAGTACAATAGTTTTTCCTTACCTTTTTGTCTCTTGTTGCAATAAAGACAAATGAAATAAATAGAGGTAACTGTTTTGTCTTGTGAAAAAGAAAAAAAAAAAGAAAAGAAACCACCAGGGGAGGCAGGATGAAACATTTTTATACAGTAACAATCCCATCAGTCTTTCCCCAAGACAACAAAATGAGTAGAAAGAAAATACATTTACTGTTGAACAAGAGGCGAGAGGTAAACGCTCATGTCCTGAGTCTGAATCTTTTAACTTTATAAAAACCGTGTTTTAACTGCTGAGAGTGTTTTGTGGGTGACTACTTGAATCTAAGGTTTCACGCTGCAGTTATAAAGTCCAACGACTGCTTGGTTGGGACGATTGTCCATTACAAAAAAAAATGGCATTTACCACATTCGTCATTTCTTTCTTATGCCTTGACGATCAAAATAAAATTAACATTATTTGAATAAAGTAACTGCCCTCAAGTTTGATATCAAAACTAATTCAAGTGCATCCTCAATTTCATTGCTTCTATTTACATCCATACGCAAAATTGTCTTGCATGCTCTTATTAGCCCTCAATACAAAGCTGAACCAGAAGATATAAATCATAAATGATTGACAAAACAATTTGATATGACATAATACACAAAATATGGTTGAAAAATCTTGCTTACTCGATGTGAAAAACTATCAAAAGTAACTGGATTGAAGCTGCAAGAGCTCGAGTTGTGCCAATAACTTTGCAGTTTTCGATTTCAAATGAGGATCACCCTTCTGTGCAAGATCAATGAGCAGGACCTGAGCTGATTCACCATATTCTACTCTATGATCTTCAACTCTAAAAATCCTTTCCAACATCCACAGTGTTTTCTCTTGAGCCTTTACATTCCCCAATTCCAGAACTCTCAAAATGGCTTGAACACCTGACTTTTTGGCCATGTAATTACTTCCATTTTCCCAAATTTCATCCTGCAAAAGGGTAGCAAGGGCACCAAGAACAGCTTCATCGGTTTCCCTCTCGTTACCTTCCAAAATTTTGATCAATGGAGAAACAACACCTGTCTTGATTAAGCAAAATGTGGTTTTGACATGACAGTAACCGTCGTGGACTTCACAAAATCCATCAACAGAAGGAGAAACACACAACCACCTTGGTGTTTTTGATTTTCTAAGGGACAATGTGTTCTGTGACAATTGAGCTAGTGATGTTGCAGCTCTAGACCTAGCAATTGGGGATCCATTCGAGAGTAATTTCACAAGCACCTGAATCACCCCATGTTCAGTAGAGTAAAGTTGCAGTTTTTTATCAGAAGAAACTGTAAATCGAACGAATATAGCTGCAATGCTCTCAGCCATCCATACTGTGGTAGATGTTGAAGTTGCAGGGCTAGAACTCATGATAGAGACCAGAAGAGGCACTAAATTAGCCTTCTTAAGTATATCTGTGGCCTTCTTATCGCTTATCGGAATGTTGCTCAGGATTCCAACAGCAGCAGCCTTTTCACTCTCAGATGCTGATGATGAAATAATACTCGCAATCAAATTCAGATTGTTTTCTCCTAATTGTTCTGTCAGGTCTCCTTGTAGATCTTTAGAGAGAGTGTAAATTACATTTAAGGCACCAGTCCTAATATTAGTTCTATTTTCTGCTAGGAATGGTAGGAGAAGCTGAATTGCACCATTTTCTTTCATTTTTCTTCTGACTATTGATGCAGCAGAGTGGGCTGCAATGCTATTTAGTACTTGTAAGAGGTGAAACTGGATTACTGGACTTGACAGATTGAGAAGTGAGAGCATTTGCTGAGCCACATCTTGGTTAACGAGGACAGACTCAGACTCAGCTATCTTGGCAAGAATGGCAGAGGCTGGTTCCCGGAGAGTCATGAGCACAGATGTCACAGAAAAAAGGAGCTGAAGCAGAGAAACTACAATGCCTGAACTAGCCAATTGTTGGGTGTTCTCTCTCAAGTTGGATAAATTTTGCAACGCATTTAAAGAAGATAATTTGGATTCAAGCTTCCCAGTGTTGAACATTTTGACAAGAGGTTCAATTGCCCCATCTTCTCCAAGGGAAGCTCTACTTTGATCTGTTAGCTCCATCCTTGAAAGTGCAGTTGCCATGAGAATCTTACCCATGTCAGAACCTGCCAATACATGGTAATGAGGTTTTGATTACACAATTGAAACCTAAAAGTTTGGGAGGCCAACATAGATTGGAATCTGATTCTGGTAAAAGGGAGTTTACTAGGATAGAAAAAATTGACATTAAAAAAAAAAAAAAAAAAGAACCCGCAAACCAAGGATCTTGGTTCAGATTCACAAAACCAAAGAAATCTTGGATCTCTTCTCGCAAATAACAAAAAAGCTGAATGCACCTTTCAATTCAGGAAACATTCAGATAGCCATAACTATATGATGATTAAGAACCGAACCTGAAAATAATTTTGTCAAACACTTGGTCTTTCTATATTTCTAGAGCAAGAAGTACCACTGCTGGTTGATTAAAAGACTAGTACCTAACCAATACCATTTGAGAAGAATGTGCAAAAGACCTGGTTCCATACATCAAAATTGCACAAATACCCACAATAAATTTTGGCTCAAGGGGTGCAAGACTAATACCAATCAATAAAACAATGTTTGAATTCTTATCCATATAAACTCATGAAGCATATTTACACAGTTTTCAACTTGTTCATCACAAAGAAATTGGTCACAGTGCTAAACCACATGCCTATGACAATGTGCTTAAGTAAACCGGTATGACTATCTATGAAAAGCAGGGTAAGCTTTAGCATCCAAGACGTACTTTTCTATACCACGCTGAAAGTTACTACCAAAGGGTCACGATTCAATCTAGTGAGGCTACCATAAAATGGAGTTGTTATCGAATCAAAAGCATGAGAGAAACTGAAATAAAGCTTTTGAAGTTACCTTCCTTAAGGTACTGTACAAGTGGCTTGAAGTAACCAGCCTCTGCCATATGAAGAGCATTTTGAGTATTGCTTGACAAAGCATTCAACAACTTCCTTGCATCATGTGAAGCCACTTGATCACCTCCATTGAGAATCGCCACCAACATAACTATACACCCTTGAATTCTTCCGATCCTCCTCCTAATTGCGGAGACATCTGAGAGAGTCGACAACAACCCCACCGACTCCCTTTGCTCATCCACATCCCGTGCTAATGACTTTACCAACGGCGTTAAATATCCAATATCTGCCATTTTTCCCTGCAAATCACTAGACAGTTTAAGAGACATAACAATGAATATATAAAAGTCTCGACAAAGAATGCAATTAGTATCCAATTTACCTTATTTTCCTCATTGTTTGTAACAAGGCTTCTGAGTATTTGAATTATAATCAACCTATTGTTAGGCTTACTTGAAGCCAATCGATTAAACAAAACCGCGACAATCCCTTCATTATCAATCCATTCATTTGTGATCATATTATCCCTAAATAACATATTGAACCCCGATAACGCGCATCTAAGTTCTTCATCATTACCATACTTAAGCTTCAGAACAATATCATCACTATTCAAAGTAATCTTCTCCTCTACTATCTCCCCTACTTTCTCCTCTATTATCTCCCCTACTGTCTCCCCCTCTGTTTCATCCTCCTCTGTTTCATCCTCTGTTTCCTCCTCTGTTTCCGCTGTTTCTTCCTCTGTTTCAACCTCACTAAACCTCGCGTTCATCATTTCTTTCCGCAATTCCTCGATCTTTTCTTTGTTAGAAATCGACAAATCGTGACTAGCAAAGAGCAGAAGGCCCAAAGATCTTCCCAAATTTTGGGTCAAATCTTCGACATGCTTCAATGGTGATGATCTAAAATTGGAGCTTCGTATCAAGGCCTTGGCACGTTGGAGTTCTGTTTCAAGGGAATTCATTGCTTTTCGATTTGGAGGTGTGTCTATGAGCTTGATGTCCCTGAATTCACTGAGCAGTTGACTTAATTTTTCAACAAGGATCGAAAATTCTATTAACACCCCTGTTCTTGTTTCGGAATCTCTTGCCAGAGAAATAACCTCCTCCGCCGATGATTGTAGCTCTGAAACCACCTCTGAAAAGCTTTTACCCTCCATTTTTGGACCACCTTCAAATTCAAAGTAGGTGTTCTATATGAGCAGATTGCTTGACACACAGAAAAATCAAAAACAAAAAAAAAACAGTTTAGAAGCGACTGAGATTTGGGTAATTTTTGTTTGTGCTTGTTTGATTCAGCCTTGGATTGAAACACAGGATGAGAGAGAGAGAGAGAGAGAAGAGAGAATGACACAAACAAGGAACTGCAATTGAAGAAGTAACTTTAGGCCCAAAATAAAAACACCCAGATGGAATTTTTAATCATATATATGAGTGTCCAGGGGAAAAAAATATTTGCAAACGCAAATATTATACGGAAATATCAAAGAAGATGAAGAACCAATTCGCGAAGACCTTGACTTGGTTCAATTCTTGCATTTATTTGTTTGTCGTCTTCGTTCTTCATCCTCTAACCTCCTTACATTAAATATCAGATATAAATAATGTGTATATGTACATACATAAATACATATCTCTGTGTGTGTGTGTGTGAGAGAGAGAGAGAGAGAGAGAGGAGGGGACAATTTTGAAGTGGTATTGAATGTCGTCTGGAAATTATTTTAGAGAGAGAATTATAAGAGATGGAGGGTAGCCGTTTGTATGATTGCGGAGAAAGGCATCTATATTGTCACTATCCCCTCTCTCTCTCTCTACACCTTGACTGGTAAAAAGTAGTGACATCTTCTTCTTTGTACAACTTCCATGGAGTGTAATTCCCTTTCTCGTCTTTCTGACGACCTTTTCTTTTACGCTTTGAATGGTGAGGGCGGCTGGTTTAGTGGGTAATTTTAAGGAAAAAATAGTATTATTAATAAGTATTATTTTTTTCTACAAATATTCATTATTAATAAGTCCTATTATTTTTATTTTATATAAATAAAATCTTATTTTTAATCTGACCCCCCTCCCAAAAAAAAAAAAAATCCTATTTTTTAATATTTTATTTTAATTAAAGTCCTAATTCTATTTTATTTCAATTTTATCTTTACCTTTGGTTACCAAATTTTTTTTCATTCTTTTACATTCTTAGAATCAATTACTAGAATATTACAGATTCTACATCAATATTAATTTAAAATAATTCTTACCAAAACCATATTCTATTAATTTATATTAGATTTAAAATGATTAAGTTAAGAATTTATTTTAGTTGTTATGTCTGAATCGATAACGACATTAAAATAGAATTAATTGTCAAATATTATCGATAGTTTTTAAATTTTTTTATTTTATTAAATAATCAAAATATATCGTCTTGATTTTGAAGATTAGGTATCCCAATGAGATAAGAAAAATATGAAAATGTGAGGTTTTTTTTATTGTACCATAAAATTTATGTTAACTGAGTCTTTTTAAGGGGTTTCGATATTAATTTTGTAAGCAAGAAATTTTTATCCTCATAATTGGTTTTAAGAATGCAAAAGAATGAAAGAGTTTTGGTAATTAAAGGGTAAGGATAAAATTAGAATATAATGAAATTTAGGACTTAATTGAAATCAAATATCAAGAATAGGATTTTATTGATATAAAACAAAAATGATAGGACTTAATAGATTTTTGTGGGGGAAAAGTAACACTTATTAGTAATTTTTCCTAATTTTAAAGGGAATTCAAAAGTTTTTAACTTATTTATTTTACCTCCTCAAATATTAAAAAAAATCTCTCATTATACCCTAATTTTTTTTAAATGTTAGGAAGGTGTACCAAATTGAAACATAATTTTGTAAAAAGAAGTTTAGTTCCATGTAGCACAAATTTGAAAAAATAAAGTTTGAAAAAAGAAACATATTAACATTATTTGAGAAATTTAGTTTTAATCTGACACAAAACAAGGGACAACACTATGAATGAAAGATGAATTAATCAACTTTAACAGTTCCTTGTCAATCCCTCTTTTAGGGAGCTAGTCCCAGGGTTGGGGACAACGTCATTCTTTTAAAGAATTACCCGTCAACTTAAGATATGATACATATTTCAATTAACAAAGTCACCCCGTGAGGGAGAAACATAAATCATTACATCCCAAATTTTACCTTTGTCTTACTAATTATGGATGAGCGTGATACTCTTCCTCAAAAAAATTTTAAGTTATATCCCTTTTCAACAAGGACGGAGCCAAAATATTATTTTTAGATAGCCCTGTCAATAGTTTTAATTTTCTTTTTCTTTTCAATCTATAAAAATAAGATGATATATTTATATTATTTGCATCATATATATAATTGTCTAATAAACTATGACAATTTCCTAAGATCTATGATAATTTCAATTTTTTCTTTGGCTTTTATGAACCTGGGGTTGACCTGTTGTTTGAATCTCTCAATTGTATCGGTATTAAAATCATATCCATTGACATAGCCATCCATCCATCACCAATACAATTTGGTTCACTTTTTTTTTTTTTGGGAAAGACTTTCACAGGTTTTTCATCGAACATCATATTAAAGTAATTTTGATATGGAAGACTTGGTTTTTCACAAATAACTATTAAAGATGATCTTTGATTTTCTACAGGGAAAACACCACATGACTGACATTTTCTTCTTGATTTTTAGTCATAATGTTTAATTTTTGATTGAATGGTCCTAATAGTGGTGTTGAGACATTCAACAATTCATGCATGTCATTAACTGACTATTGCATAGTGCAAGAATTGGGGTTGTGCAATATATGTTTCAAGTTTTGCACAAACTCTTGCAGTTGCACACTTTCTTGGCCATTGGACTAGCCATTCGCTAGGTTTGCAAACTCCACAGGATGGGTATTCGAACTTGCTTCATGATTGCAATCAATTGGTGTTATTTCCACAGTTTCGTTAGTCTCAAATATGATCTCGTATTGTTTCCTTGTTAGCACCATCTTCCTTGATACAAATTATTAATGATGTCCCATCAGGCGTGCCAAAAGATTGTTGCTCAAAAAATTTGTTACAATCGACAAGCAGTTCACAAGCAATTGTTTGTGGATGAGTTTTACTACCTTGTTTTAGGATTTTCTTGGATAAGATTCGATGACAAAACACACAAATTACTAAAATAACAAAGAAATATATATTTATTAATTCCATTGTGTGAGTTTCGATTACAGGGTGATTGATTTAACAACATTTAATTGCAGTACTAACTATTTCCTAAAAACTAACTCTAACACTACTCCTAAATGACTTGATCGTGGATCTTGTGCGGGTTTGAGTTGTCTTTTGTATTATTCCCTTTTCTCTTTTATAGTCATTTCTCTTGACGGTTTCTCTCTTAATGATGATAATTTGGCTTCGTAACTCCACCAGTCCACCTCTACTAAGGCTTTGTGATGTATGCCAAGTTCTAGCTAACCAATAGCCGATTGCCGACCTCGAGCATGCTATAACAAAGAGAGAGCATAATACACCAAAAGAAAGTAACAAACAAAACATATCATAGCAAAATAGTAATCCCCGTAACAAAAACACATGGGATAAAAGCATTTAAAGGGAACAAGTAAGTTCATGAACAAAGAATACGGTTGTTCCCAAGCATTTGGGAAGAGGATATAATCATCTTCGCATAATATGGTTGTATGTTTATCACACATAATAGTACTACTAAGAAAAAGAAAAAACATAATCAGAACAGAGGTTCAAAATAATACCACTACTTAAGGTCGTCAATGGAAAGCTTAAATAGGAACACTATGCTTAGAATCACTGCCAAAAAAAAAAAAAGAATTAAGTGTCAATCTTGAAATAGTTGATTACTCTTGTAAATTAGATATAGGGCAAAAAAGAGAAAACACTAACTTGCAATCATTTTGCAGAACCTTACAAACAGTGATGTGGCCAAAAATTCTCCAAAAGTTTCTAACTCCCATCCTGACCGTTGAACCATGTAGGGGAGTTGTATTTCATGTAAAAGTATAATTAATTTCAAGCATTCTAATGAAATCTTGTCTTCCATTTCGAAGTAGAAAATAAATTATCACATTTAATCAAATAATTCCCAAGAACCTTACACATCTCTAGATGTTAAATGCAAACCATCAAAAGACAAACTCTAATGACTACACGGAGGAAGGGAATTAAAGCTTGATAAATTTAAATGCAACACTAGTTTACTTTTCTCAAATGACTTACAGGTTTTCTAACTTTACCGTGAGATGTTTTTGATGACCTTGGAAGTAGAAATTGCCAACACTTTTCCCCCAAATTGATTGATTTTTAAGCGTTCATAGCGTAATTTCAATAAGATGGTAAATATATTTCTTAAAAAATGTCATGGAAAGAAAAGCCAATATGTAAATTGGTAAGCAAGGCAAATTTGATTCATGATTCATTGGCTCCAAATCAGGAAATAGACTCCACAAACAATAACAATTCTAATTTTGGTTTCTCTATTAATAGCATATGGGATGATTTCCCATTTCTGCTATTTTCTTAGTTCGTGAATTAATTTTTGGAAAAATCAATTCTTGACTCGTTTGTCATTCAAAATTGGATATTAGTAACAGTAAGTTGCAAAAATATAATTCACCCAATCATTATGTTTTTACATAAAATTAAGCAAATATAGTGCCTAAAAAAATAGATAAAGGAAACTTTTGAATTCTAATATTAAAAATTTTGGTACTGCAAAACTGACTATAACTACAATTACTTAACGATGCACATAACTACTTCAAACTAAAGGGGGGAACCAATGAAATAAACCAACCTTAAACATCTATATGCAGGTCATACAATGGTAACTTCCCCTGAAATTCATTAGATTACATAATAATAGCCTTTTAGTGATCAAGGAGAACAGTGCATATAATACGTGTTCATAACTATTTTCTATAAAACCAATTAAAAAAAACTTACTATCAGAATGTAAGTACAAGCAATGGCAGAAATAAAGACATACCTTCCTCTAAAGAAGTGCAAAAGGATATAGCCAAGGATCAACATTTCGTTTCAAAATAGTCGAAACGTTTTCGTTTTTAAGAAGATCAAAATGAATCAGTAATGGAATCAAAATTTTAATACTTTGAGGCATTCTATAATGTTTTGTAATATTTCAATGTATTTGTCAATTATTTCAGAATGTTTTACGGTATTTTAACATGCTTTGGTATAATTTGACCAATATTTTGCAAAAATAATTCTTAAAATTTTCATTTTTTTTCATTATGTTTCCGAAACAGGTCGAAACGTTTTCGAAACACATCGAAATATTTTTGTTTTCTAGGTGACCTGAAACAATACACCGAAATGAAATTTTTATCCTTAGATATAGCCAAGTGACTCCAAATCATTCTGGCAACTTTTCTCTAAAGATACAAATCAGAAAAAGAAAAGAAGGGGTGGGGTGGGGGGTGGTACACACGAACACAACGTTCACAATCAAAAGATTCACAAACCATTGCCTATGTCACCAAGTATGTCTAGGTGAATTTTATTTCTCCATTTCAAGTGATTAATGAGATTCAAAAGCTAGATATTGTCAATAAAAGTAGTGCTGAATTTGAGATAAAGTCTCTTGCTCTACTTGAGTCAAATTATGAATCTAGAAACAAATTATCTTACTCATATAATG